CTGCTGGCAAACTACAATCTTTTTTGAGAAGTGTTCAGTGTGTGCTTTGTTGACTGAAAATAAATCAACACACAGTATATCCCGGTTCAGAGGTGGTGTAATCCTCCTACATCCAGTCCCATCCTATTTCAAACGGATTTCACTAATGTATTAAGCCCAATACACTTAGTGTCAATCTAGTCTTGACAACTCTGGCCTAGATTGAAGGTGTTTCACGAGGAGTACAATATCACTCCAAGCTACTCAATCCTTTAGGTTTATCTCAATTGATCCAGTGGGGATCAAAAGGTACTCCCGACCTATCTAACCACACTCAGGCCGGAAACAACTGTCCTCCTGAAGTGTTTACAACAATATCTGATTTGGTTACAAGAAAGTTCTAACCTCCAACTAGGAACTAAACTTCTAGGATTTAGCAATTAACACTTGAGACTAAGAAGTTTAGTGAAGCAGGAGTCTAAGCAGAAATATCTCTCTACTTAGGATGCTCAAGCTTCGTTAGAAACATTCGTTTCAGCCTATATTTATAGGCTTCTCTAGTTGATTGATTAATCTCATCCGTTGGTTAGGATGGATTAATCCTGTTCGTTGAAGATTTGGCAAGGGCGAATTGTACATTCGTCTTCTTGTGCTGGAGCTTTTAATGCGGCTGTCTTCAATAATCTTTTAGCCGCTGGAAGTGTGCATCCCATGCTGTAGGTCTATGTACCTGTTTTTGCATTTAACGCGGGTTTATTTTTGTCTTCAATTATTTTGGCCACTGAAGCATCTTCCTTGTGTGCATCCCAAGCTGTGGCCCTTAGTACTTGATTCGGTATTAAATACCGGTCAAGTTTGGTCTTCCAATTATTTACATTCAATGTATTTGATTTTCGGAGCTTCTTTTATTTAATAATGTGACATTCAGTTAACCTTTGAGCTAAAATGATATATACCGGTAGGATCTAAATATCCTATTAAGCTAAATAAAAATTACCTTATTGCATTTTAACTTTTCCGGTAATATTCAATTTGACTCAAAAATTGTACATTTTATTTTGTCACATAATTTTGAATGCTAACACACGAACAATATTGAGACACAATGTACACATGCTAAGTATAGTGGCATCATCAAAATCTATCAAAATTGGGTACTGACAGTATTGTTATCAGTTATTTTAACCTAAGTCTCCCAAAACTACGTCCGGTAAGTTAGATAACGTACCTCTGCTGCACTTGACTCGGGAACATAAAGGGAAATCACTCTAGGGTTTGTATTCATTCTAAGCATACTGAAATTCAGATTACCCTTGTAGCTCCTGATGTCCTTCTTGTATTAAACGCGGAACAACGCCTTAACGTCCATCAAGACATTGATCTCTGCAGGGAAGTAATGTTGTCCACAGTTTCTGTACACAAAATAGAGTGATGATAAGGTGTTTATGTTGTTAATGAAAGTTTAGGAAATCGAACACAATATTAAATAATAGTCGAACCTTAGATACTTGTTCTTTTAGGGATGAAGCCGACCGTGTAGGTTGTTGGCTTTGTCGGGATTCAGCGGTGTTTCCTATTCTAATGTTTGGAGGCAAGCTAATTGGGTCGCTCATTTCCTAGCCCATCAGGACTTGGCCCAATGGAATTATTATAATTGTGTGCAGGACCTTCCGGCCCAAGCTCGGAATTCCTATTATATGGATCTTTTTGGGCTCCCCTCTCTTTGTATTGGTTGGTCTTTGGGCTGATTTTCCATACTCATTTTATTTTTGTACCACTTTTTTCTGAGAGGCTTTGGTCTTGTCCTCCTCTCTTTTGTATTCCTTTTATTTTATTAATAAAATATCGGTAAATGACTCCCGGCATTTACCCCACTCATTTTGGTTGTTGACCTTCCGAGATAAAAAAAAAAGAAGCCGACCGTCCTATCAAGCAAGAAACCTCTCTGTCCCAGAGAAGAAAGGAAGCATGTGATGCTTTATCGACAACCCTTATGTTTACTCTATACCTCAAAACAACATCTGATGAATTGCAAGATAAGCAATGAAAGGTGTCGCCATTTGGCGTCACTTTGCGGTTGCATCCTATGCATGAATTATAGGACCAATCATTGTGACTGTCTATTCTTGCAATTTCTCTGTAGACCCAATGCTTACCATCCTTTAAAAGGTATAAAAATAGTCAAATTACGCCAAGGCATTAGTAATATATACATTTCACTGTTTTAAACAGTCGTCCTCCATTTGTGTGAGTTGATCAATTGTCACCAGCTGTATCTGTCCCGTACTAATATCGCTCTCATTAGAAGTATCAAAAGAAATTGTAAAACTCAAACCCTCACCGCACCTATCATCCATCCTGCGTAAGAAAACCGTCAACTAACATTGCATCACAACCTGTAGTCGCAGTTGTAAGAATTGTTGTTGACTCATTAAAAACCTTGATCTGAAGTCATTGAACTCGTCCTCAACCCCGTTTAGAATAAACTTGGTTATGTTGAACATGTTGGATAGGCTAAAGGGTCAAATAGGTACATGAACTAACTTAAAGTGTTCAATTAGCCCCTTATTTAGGAGGTTCTGTCCGGCCGTCACCAATTAGGGCGGTTCTGGATGGAGTTTTTTTGATGAATTTTTTTGAGAATATTCTTCATTAAGTCTAGTTTACCCATATCAAATTTCAGCTAAAAATTAAACCGGGAAGGCAGTTAAATGATTTTCCGAAATGTACTGCGCTGTTTAACTGCACAGTTATTTTCAAAAAATCATTTTACTGCCTTCCCGGTTGAATTTTTAGCTGAAATTTGTTATGGGTAAACTAGAATTCATCAAGAAGATACAAAAAAAATTCATCAAAAACTTCCACCGGGAACCACCTCAATTGGCGACGGCCGAGCAGAACCTCCTATATAAGAGGGTAATTGAACACTTTAAGTTAGTTCATGTACCTATTTGACCCTTTAGCCATTGGATACATGAACTTGACCTAAAACTAATTATTTCATGAGGTATCCATTCAACAAAATTATTAAAAAAATGTAAACAACTAAATCCATATTCTACCCTGGTATTTCTTTGCTCGGCAGCATTGAAGAAGCAAGACAATGGGTTCAGCCGTGGTCAACTTATATGTTAGCAGCATTTCGACCAATGGATCCCAGAGCGTGCAGCCAATCACATTCCCCCTTATAAGAAACACATTTCAAAATTAGAGAAACTTCAAATACTGCAATAGATTGTGCATTGACTTGAGTTATGAAATATTGTAACTCGGTATCTCCTAGGATGAGCTCAAACAGCTTTTTAGGACGGTCATTCTTTAGAATTGTCTTGGGATCTTTATCATGGACGACCTGTCCAATGATATCTGCATATGCACTCTGTATATTATATGATCAAAAATAATGTTTACAATTTTATTCTATGATTGATTCAGTTTAAAACGTACCCACTGCAGCTTTGTCGTCAATAGTTTCCGCTGCTTGTAAAGCAATAAAGGACACCAAATTAAAAGTCCTCAAAGAGAATGGAATTTGGATTTCAAAAGCTTCACTCTTCTTAAAGAAACGAAGTCGGCATGCGCTCATCGTTGTTTTGAAAAATGTGAAATTTTCCTCAACCATAAAGTTTTTCACGACATAAATTCGACCCTCCCGAAACAGACCAAAAAACTTGCCAATGAACTGATCGGGAATGTGTCCATGAATTTTGGACCCCTGTCAAAATAAAATTCCCCATTTTAAAACATACCAACAAAAATCCAGGAAAAAAATACCTAAATAGTTAAGATCACCTCTTCATCATGAAATATTACTTCTAAAGATGGAGGAAATCCATCATGGGCGGGTTCCCAATACACTCTCATTGCCCTGGCCTTTATGGCCCAAGTGGTTCTGCTTTGATCATAGACCATAATCCAGTCATTTCGAAAGAAATAACTATTTGTTATGCTATGAGATTTTTGAAGGTGTGATGTATGAAGCAAACACATTGTCCTTAAATAGTCAAATTTTAGGAAACAATCTATGTGCTACAGTACTCCATCACCCATTTAGACCAATAGAATTTAACCATTTAAAAAAATTGTTTTGGACCTTCATTCACCCTCACTGTTACCGTAATAAGCCTGGCGCATACAGAAGCCTCCGTAAGTTTTAAATAGTAGTTCATACAGAGTTCACCTCCCTTTAGAGCCAATAGAATCAACCTAGAATGAACATATCTTCACCATCAAATCAAATATTCCCCCCCCCCCCCCCCCCCCCCCCCAACTTTGATCACCACCCATTTGGACCAATAGCAAAATCCAGGAAATAATATTTTGGCAACTAACTGAACAGTGTCAACAGTACCCACCTCTCATTTAACCAACAGGACCATTCATCTCATCATTGGCCGAATCGTTGAACTCAAAGTGTATCTCAAAAATGTATTTCTGTATTTTTTTCTCAAATAAGGGAATAGTATGATACAGTTTGCCGCTAATCTACACCAATAGAAACTGATTCATTCAACCGAAACCATTTTGCAAAGAAATATTTCAATTCGATTTTCTTTCAGCTTAACTAATGACTTATCGTTGTTGACGTTTTTGAGCGGGAACACCGCTCCTCAAAAATCTTTTGCTTTTATATTAGAATAGATTAGATGTGAGTTTAACATTATTATTTCTTTAGTTGGATAATTAGAATCCATATTGTGATTGCAAAATAAATTCGTCTTCTTTCTTCTAATCCAATCGCAACTAAATAAAATTAGCTCAGAACAAAAGTTTATTTGAAATTATAAAAGTAAAAAGCAAGCGTAGCAAAAGTAAATAAAGACAGAAGCCTTCTGGAATTACAAAAAACAGCTGATGTTGAAATGTTTTTGACAATTATGGATACCACCCAAGATTAGTTAATTTAAATTAGAAACACCTATAATTGTTGAAAGGACCCCCTCACCACAATTCTAAACACACCAAATACTGAGCTTTCATGTTAATTATTATTTTTATTAATATTATAATGCAAATAATTGGTGTATTTAGGTTTAACACCTATTTAATCCAATCTAGGCTTCACATTTGTGAACTCACTACATGAATTTCAATTGTTTATTCACTAAATATCCGTAAGTATTTTATTCGTTTCAGTCGTCACCCTAAGACTGCTTATTAAATACTATCTTCACTTTCTTGTTTCAATTCAAGAAAAATAAAAAAGAATAAAGAAAAGAAGATTTGATCAATGGAATTCAAGAAGTGTTGTTTCATTGTCTTTGTCATCCTCATCATTATCGCCGCCGCCGTATCTTCTGCCCCTTCACTCGGCTACCGGATTGGCTCCGGCACGGCGGTTCTTGAAGACCAAATGATTCCATTTGGCGGTGGTGAACCCAGAACCGATCAGTTGGCCGGCGGCGGCGAATGGGTGCTTCTACAAGACAGCGTCGGCGTCTCAGCCATGCACATGCAGCTCATGCCGGACAACAAGGTGGTGATATTTGACCGGACGGACTTCGGAGCGTCGAACCTCTCCCTCCCCCCGGGAAAGTGCCGGTACAACGACGAAGTGCTTTCAGAAGACTGTACGGCCCATTCCCTTCTTTATGACATTACTACAAACACCTTCCGCCCACTCATGGTCCGGACCGACGTCTGGTGTTCCTCCGGCGGCCTCAACGCCAACGGGACGCTCATCCAGACCGGCGGCTACCACAGAGGGGGGCAGAAAATACGAACTTTCACTTCTTGCGGCGGCGGCGGCTGTGATTGGGTCGAGCTCGAGCAGAATCTCACGATTCAGAGATGGTACGCCACCGACCATATTCTTCCTGACGGCCGAATCATCATTGTCGGCGGCCGGCGAGCTTATAGCTATGAATTCTTTCCCAAGGTCAATGACAGATTCAATGGAGTATATCAACTCCCGTTCTTGGTGGAAACAACCGACGACCCGAAAGAAGAAAACAATCTTTACCCGTTTCTGTATCTTTTACCGGACGGCAATTTGTATATTTTCGCCAATCAGCGTTCTATAGTTCTTGATTATCACAAAGACAGGGTCATTAAGGAGTTTCCGCCAATTCCAGGCGACAAAAGGTCGTATCCGGCGACCGGTTCGTCGGTGATGCTGCCAATGCATTTAACGGGGTACCCGCCTGTTCTATTTCCGGCGGTGGAGATTTTGGTCTGCGGCGGCAACCAAGGTGGCGCGTTTCGTAAGGCAGAGAAGCATGTATACGAACCCGCATCGCGCACGTGCGGGCGCATGAGGATAACCGACCCGAACCCCATTTGGGCCATGGAGTACATGCCAATGGGTCGGGTCATGTCGGATATGTTGATTCTGCCCGTCGGTGACGTGATCATTCTCAACGGCGGGTCGAAGGGGACTGCCGGGTGGGAGGATGGGGAAGACCCGGTTTATAACCCGGTCATTTACAAACCCAACGAGCCTGACCCGAGTATGCGATTCTCTGTTCTCGCCCCCACCACAATACCGAGGATGTACCACTCATCTGCTATCCTGCTGCCAGATGGCAGAATATTAGTGGGTGGAAGTAATCCACACGCAAGGTACAACTTCACAACGCCAAGGTACCCTACGCAGCTGAGCTTAGAAGCCTTCACCCCACCGTATCTGTCCCCACGCTACTCGTATCTCCGCCCTTCGATCCTTTCGGTTGAGTCAGCAAGTGGCGGGAACGCCATATCGTACGGTGAGAGATTCTCCATCACATTCACGCTGGCGGGGATGATTGACGGTCGCGATGGAGGGCTCACCGTAAGCATGATTGCACCCTCATTCACCACACACTCTTTCGCCATGAACCAGCGCATGTTAGTCTTGGATATTTCTGCAATAGACCGGCTCTCCCCGCTGGCGTACAGGGTTACGGTGTACGCGCCTCCAACGCGTAACATTGCACCCCCGGGGTATTATATGGTGTTTGTGGTGTACCGGAGCACCCCTGGACACAGTATCTGGATCAGGATGGTTTGACTGCTGGTCAACTTCTTACCTCTGCATGCATTGAATTGTTGCTAGCTAGATATTCAAAGTATTCTAAATACATGTACTGATGCATTTTGATTGTTATAGAAAAAGTACATTTTGTCACAGATGTAATTGCATATGTAAAAAAGAAGATTGATTTAAATAAGTTATTTGTTATATATGAATGAAGTTTAAGAGTTTTTAAAGGCATACATTTCTCAAAGTGATCACTACTTGTACCAGGGTTTGCTGCAAGAATGTATCTGGTTTTACCTATGTACTATGGTCTAAGACCGGGACTCCCGGCCCGGGAGGTTTGACGACCTGAGGAACTCATGATCGTAGAAACAGCGCGGTGGCTGGATCCATAATATGTAAAAGAAAAGATTGGTTTAAGTAAGTTATTTGTTATACGTAGTATATAAAGTGTCAGAGTTTTTAAGGGCATACATTTTCTGAAAGTGATAACACAATATGTGTTCTGCTTGTGCCAGGATTTGCTGCAGGAATGTATTCTGGTATTAACTATAGTCTAAGTCCGGGAGTCCCGACACTCCCGGCCCGGGAGGTTGGAGCTGAGGAACATATGATCGGAGAATCAGCGCGATGGATGGAGCCATAACCAGAGCAGCACTGGCTCTTATTCACACCAAAGGATGATTCTCATAAGCAGGTGATCCAGTGTGCTATTACAGATTTACAGAATCAGCCATCTCCACTGCAGCAAGTGTCCTTAGAGGCATATTTTGAGGGGCATTTTGGTCTATATCCACTGCAGAAACATACTTTGAGGGGGCAATTTGGTCTATATGACAAATGCCCACAAAGGCATTAAGCATTAAGCATTAAGCAGCCATCTCCACTGCAGGGGCAAAATATGCCCCCTCAATGTATGTATGTTTCTGCTTGCTTTGTCATATTCCTAGCTGCCAAGGAAGGCTACTCTTAAGATTCTGAGCTACTGTCAATTTGGACATTGCAAAAGCTGCAATTATAAGTTGTAAAAAACATGAAGTGTAAGAGTAATACATTAATAAAAATATAAAAATTAAAGGTACACATTAAATAAATAGTACTTCATCTTTCCCTAAGTTTCTGACTTTGTTGAACTTCTTGCCTCACCATTAAATATGATTTTGTACTACTCTGTCAAATAAGGTAGTCTTTCTTGGCCAAATTGATTGTAATTAACATGTAAAAATGTAGCTCGAGAAGTGATAAAAGTTGATATCTGAAGTATCATGAGGAGCAAAATGCCCTCTTTAACCCCAAACTTTTTTTTTGCGAGGAAACCCCAAACTAAGTATTCTTATTTGTGAGTTTCATCTTTGAATTGGATTAGTTAAATCTGATGTGCTTGAGATTAGACTCACTCCTAATTCCCTTCTATTCTTGAAAAAAATGTTGATTACGGAGTGATATAGTATTAACCCTTAGAGAGAAGTGAGAGTTAGAGAGAGAAATGCAATAAATGTATTAGCAACCCCCTACAACTATCACCAAAGAGAGTATTTATAGGGAAAAGTATGGGCTGGACTCCCAAGTCTTGGTTTGGGAGGGTCATTACAATATAAGACCTCTAATGGACTGGATACAATAATTTGATTAAGTATAGAATCTGTCTCTGCGAAGTCCCCTTGGCCGACGGGGTGTCTGGCCGACAGGGGGTCTGACCGACGGGGGGTCTGGCCCATGGGGGGTCTGTTTGATGGAGGGACCACGTCCCGCTCCTGGGCTTCTGGACCACATTCTGGAATGATGCGAGGTCGGCCGATGAGGATCATCTGACTGACGGAGGATCCACTAGGTGACATATATGGCTAGGAGCGAGTCGGTGACCCCGGGGCGGCCCCTTTCGGGCCTGCCACTTCATGTAGGGCACGCATATGGAAATAAAGAATGATGAAAGAAGCCATAAATATGGGTAGATATGTATGGTCGATTTGTATAGGTGAAGAGGATGGCGATTGACATGAATATAAGATGGTTCGCTCTCACAAAGGGCGGGTTGGTAGCAGGGGAAACCCACTACTCATGAGACCTGTCATTATATTTGACAGTGAGGATCCAAGCTAGCTAGCAGCCATACATGACGCATTCTACGTGATTGGGACTCTTCCTAAAAATAAACGAATTTCAGTTTCACTCGAATACTCAATCTTGTTCTTGTTTTGGCCTGGCCAGGCCTGGCCTTAGCTTATTCTATTTGTATAAGTGGAGCCAGTCTAACAAGAAATACACCAGTTTTAAATTAATGCTGAGAACTAAAAAAACATGACAAAACAAACATCTATCATTGTCCATTTGATCAATAACGAATTTACACAAAACATCTAATGTGAATAAGATAGCTAAATGACAATAATCATGTGTGGATACACAAATTTGAGCTACGGAATTGGAAGATTGGATCGTTTTTAAGTAGTAGTTGAGTTGAATTTTTCATATATAGTTTAGATAATGGTAGTTTTGATGAGATTAAAAGAGTTATAGATTTGATATATACGTCATATACATTATAGACTTCACGTAAGTAACGAATGATTAGACGTTATTTTTAAAATTTGAGAATTTGATCGATAACTTTTCAAATTTTACTCATTTGAAGTTTAGATAGTGTTGATTTTGCAAGAATTATGACTTATTATTCGCAATGAGTTTCAAGAACTACAACTTATATCGAAGGTATTTCAGTAATCAATACTCTCAAACTTTCAAGAGGGTCGGGTGACCCTTCTGACCCCCTTGACTCCTCCCCTGCATTGAGTGTACAAATAATGATACTAGCAGGGCAGGTCCTGTCTATTTTCTAGCCTATGAGCGAGATAATATTTGGGCTTATATTCAAGACAAACAATAAACTATTTTTATTTAAAATAATAATTACAATAAAAATATCTAATAAAGGTCTTTAAATAAAAAAACTCATTTTATTATTATTATTATTTAAATTAAATATTTCGTGAAAAGTAACAATATAAGTATCACATAAAAAGAAAAACATTACTTAAAAATCATTCTCGTAGAACATTGTGAAACAAAATCATCAATAATTGCTTCATAATAAACCTTTTCAAATATCTGATGTTCAATGCTTAAAATCAGGGGCGGAGCCATGGCACTGGACCAGACTGGGCCGGTATAAAGAATATTATTGAAAAAAAATTACATGAAAATTTTTACACTAAACTTGCTAGCTCCGCTCCTGCTTAAAATTGCTAGCTCACAAATAATTCATCAAAATCTTTAACTGTGAAAAACATTACTTAAAAACTTTCTCGCGGAATTTTCAAGAATCAATTTCTTAACAAAAACAAAATTTTCCATTGATCCCTTCGAACTTAAACCTATCTTTTCTAATCTTCTTCTCTTTGTCTCTTGATCCCAACCCGATCCATCAATTTTATCAAGAATAATTTATTGATCACGGATGGATTGTTTGAAGCCTAGAAAGAAGAATTTTTTTTGGTCACCGACCACCGTTTGGGCTCCTCGAATGATTGGCTTCAATTCTTAACCGTTGAGGCACTCACAGCTTTGTAGCATTCTTTACTCTTGTTGATATTGGAATTTGGAAACAACAAATCAATGTGCATGGGCTATGCGAATTGGTAGTTTTGGACTTGGGAGGCCAAACATAACTTGGTAATTTTGTAATTAAAAGGATTATAAAACCTAGAGATCCGAAGAGAATTAAGAGAGGTGTGCCACTTTACATTTATTTTAAAAATTAAACCTTGAGCCAACCAAGTGAGCTTAGAAATTAAAAAAAAAAAGTCTACTCACACTACATACAAAGAAATATTTTTGGACCCGTTTTTTTCCCTATTTTCTTGGGGCTAGGGCGGTCATACTAAAAATTAAAATATTTTTGTTGCACCCCAGGGCCGCCCCTGATACTAGACATAAATGACAAGTGCTAATATACGAGACAAATGAAAAAAATTACACGCAAAAAATTACACCGATAAGGCTTATTTGGCCTTAGAGGATAAATGTGCTTATAAATTCAATATATAGTGGCTTCGTTTGATCATATAGCATTTCATTAATGATAAACCGAAAAGAGTTGAATACTTGGGTAGATCGTCACGATCTTCGTAACAAACACAACAATTCAAAAATGAGGTTGTACACAGAAATTATGACAACTACTGTTTCCAAAGAACTAATAAATACGACGAAATTGATTGACGATCATAATGCCTAATATTTCATACTCCTCCTAATAGTACCAACATGGTAAAATGGAATATTGCAAGGTTACTAAAAAGTTAGTTTGTGTGATTTACATTGAATAAATAACTTTGAAATAAAGTACAAATGATTGTAAATCATACAAGTATTATCAAGTTTCGTATGAGAGAATTTTAATAGAATGATCCAAAAAGAAGTAAGATCACTGCAAAAAAACTCGCCCTTTATCACGGATTTTGTCACGGATCGTAGTTCAAAAAAACCGTGACAATTAATTTTTGTCACGAATTTATCACGAAAAAAATCCGTGACACCAGGGGCGTGATAACGTTTTTGTCACGGAATTTAATCCGTGAGACTGTTTGTCACGGATTTATCACGACCACCGTCCGCGACAAAACACTTCACCGGAACTCCCTCTCTTATTATTTGTCACGGGCACATCCGTGAATAAATTTTTTTATTTTTCAAAAAAAAAATAATTATTTGTCACGGATTTATTCGTGACAACCCTTTTTTCGTACTGTATTATTAAAGGTTACCGCTGGAAAATCAATAATTGATGTTTGTCACGGATTTTGTCACGGATGGATCCGTGACAAAGTTTTTTTGAAATTTGTCACGGATTTGTCACGGATATGTCCGTGACAAATGCCCGGGAGCAAAAAAAGTATTCACCGGAGTAAAAAACCGGTCGCCGGAGTAAATTTGTCACGGACCTATCCGTGACAACACATTTTCGTAACAAATCCCAATATTCCGTGACAAAGCTCGTGACAACTTTGTCACGGCCGTAATCCGTGACAAAAATCCCTGACAAAGAGCGAGTTTTTTTTGTAGTGGAGACCATCATAAGAAGAGACTTTTTAGCAACAAAATGATACTTCTTTGGTTTCATAAAACTTTACTCAGTTTCCTTTTTGGATGTTCCACTAACTTTGACACTTTCTGTTTTAACTAAAGAATTAGTTGTTTCAGGTAATTCTCTCTCTTCGCACAAAACTCAATAACATACTCCCTCCGTCCCGTTGGAATGTTCCCGCTTTCCTTTTTTGGATGTCCTGTTGGAAAGTTCTTATTTCCCTAAATGGAAATGACTAATCCTCGTACCGGTCAAATTTAGCAAAGTTTTAAGTGACGAAAAGACTAAAAGAGTATTCTCATTTAATAATGTATTACAATATTAGAATTTTTAAATACACAAACACAAAGAGGACAGGTAGCCCGGGATGCACATAACTTGGGGTCGTGGCTCTGAATTTACCGGAGGCAGACCGAACCCAACCTGCTGCCATGGAAACTGTGGCGGCAAGGTTTGGAAAAGGGAGTATTGTGGTCCACCAGAATACGAATGAGGGTTCGACACCATGGGAACCGAATAAGGCACCGGTTGAGAGGCTTCCGGAGCAGCATCGGTAACGATTGACGAAGAGAAGATGTTAATCGCACCAGTGGTGGGTGTCTCTGCAGCAGAAGAGATGATCGGCGCCATGGAGGAGTGCCGCTGCGACATGGCTGCGTCGAACGTAAGAGAGAAGAAAAGAATAGGGTTTTTCCTTAGGCTCGTGATACCATGTGAATAAACGGGAAAAGGTACTCCAATAGGAGTCCTAGCCTGTATATATATAATAAAAGAGTTTAATACAAATTAGGAAACAATATTCCTAATAATATTCTATTAGTTATGTATCGTTATGTGTCGCCCTTGAGGAACAATATAATATGGCCTTGAGACAATGGCTCGTGCGAGCAAACTAATCTTGAAGCTAGTGTGCTCTCATTTCCACATTTTTTGAAATGAAAATATTATTTGAGACGCCTAAGTAAATGTATTCTAGTTGTACGAGATTTCCTACTAATATAGGAATTCTGCACACATAATAATTCTATATCATTAGTTCTTGAATTGCACACATAAAACAAGTTTCGATGAAAGAGACATGAATACTCGGCCTTTTTCTACATATGCCCAATAAGGTGAGAGTAAAAAGGCTTTCTTCTTGAAACGTCGGTGATTGGTGAAGTGGACTGCAAAAACTGATTGGTTGAAGAAGTGTATTGCCTCATTCAGAGAAATAAGTAATAACTGTATGTATGGCTTGATTCAGAGAAATAGTATGTAGTAAATGACTGAGCTCTAGCTATTCCATTTATTGCTTCCTGCCTCACCTGAACGCCTTGTTGTTGTACACATGCAAATTAAAATTTCAAATTATCACATCAAACAAAGCTCACGAAAAAGAAGCACAAAATTATCACATCAAACAAAGCTCACGAAAAAGAAGCACAAAACAGAAAGTTAAAATGGAGATGCGGGGTATCGATCCCCGTACCTCTCGCATGCTAAGCGAGCGCTCTACCATCTGAGCTACATCCCCTCTTGTACGATTACCCTGAACTGTCCAAATTCAGGCCCGGCTCCGGGGATTTTGGTGCCCCGGACGACAAGTAATTCTAGATAATACTTCATATCAATACTAAAATTAAATAAGAAGTGCATAAAAATCGAAAAATGTGACTACTATCTAATGCACTTAATAGTTATTGTAAAAGGTAATAATTAACTTACAAATGATATTGTATTCAAAAATAAATATTCTTATATGAAATAGATAAAGCTATAAATATACTATCTAATACTCTCTCCGTCCCAAATTGAATTAAAAACTTTGACCGGTACAAGGATTAAGGAATGACAATAAATGATTCTTGTTTTTTACACTTTTGTCCATCTTTCTAGAAGTAGATGTCTTTATGTTAATGGAGAAAAAGTAAAAGTAAAGGTAAATTTGCCACTTTATTATTATTTACATACCTAAAATAGAAAGTGGAAACCATTTTGGGACAACCAAAATAGGAAATTTTGCAAATCAAATTGGGACGGAGGGAGTAATCAATTCTTCTTGCCTTTTGAAGTGCAAAATTTGTGAGTACATCACTACAATCAAGCGTAGATAATGTTTTTTTCTATTGATAACATAGCTAGCCCACTTAACCTATCTTGTGACATCGTTGAACAAAGATAGTTTTTTATTAACTTCAACTTGAAAAGCTTCTTTCGACAGCATGGAAAATAGATGTAGATCTCTCTTATATACTTCAACACTTCAACAACTTTTGTTTTGCCTTGTGATAATGACTTTCTTAAAAGTTGTAGCTTTGAAAACGACTCAATTGAATCAATATCACCATCATCCTCGTGCCAGTGGCAGAGCTCACTAAGTTCCAAAGTATGCATGTGAACACCCAAAAGTGTAAAATTACATATATAAAATTGATTTAATAATTTAGTGTACTTTACTTGTAAAATGTATGTGTAGAATTGTACCATCAAATAATATTATTGCTCATAATTTTATTTGTAAAATAACTTTGAAATCCGAAAATTTAGATGTTAAATCCGCCACTGCCCCATGCTTAAGAAAACTTTCAAGGGTATCATAACTAAATACCCCACTGTTTGCGGAATAGCCTGAGTTGGACGTTGGTGATTGCTAATTGCTAAAGCAGTAAAGGCAAGGGTGCGGCGAATAGCGATTACAATAATTTGTTGTTAATTTACTCAGTATTAAATTGCTCCGTATTAATGAATGCCTCAAAAAATACGGGCATTTGATGAGTGTTGGAGATTGGAGCAATTTTAGTTTTTAATTAAAAAAGGCAAAATGATGCTTGATGGGTATGGTGGGCCACTATTACTTTTTGTCTTTTCCAACTCTCAATACTTAATACTCCGTGCTACACTGCTACGTAACACACTTTAATTTTAGGGGGTGTATTGTATTAAGAATTAGTGACAATATTTTAAAAGTACATGAATTTTAAAAGTTTAGGTGTATCAAATGTGAACTTTTAAAAGTCTACAAAAGTTTAGGTGTATTCAATGTAGACTTTTAAAAGTCTATAAAAGTGTAGGCGTATTCAAAATTCCATTCACTCTTATTGACTTCTAAAATCATAGATTCACGTGGACTTTTAACTCATTCTTAGTACATTAATTTTCTGCAATTGTATCTTCTCTTCACTAAAGATTTCCGTGGACTTTTCTTATTTCGGTTTTTCATCCCTTCCCACCCCATCCCTCCCCCCCCCCCCCAACTCTCTTCTTCTTCTTCAGCCAAGCCATCCCTTCCCCTTCGATCTTTCTTCTTCTTCTTCTTCTTCTTCTTCTTCTTCTTCTTCTTCTTCTTCTGCCCAGCTCGCCCCACCCTTCTCCTTCCGTTCTTCTTCAGCTTGCCCCACCCCACCCCCCTCGTTAATCCCATATCGATTCAGTTCTAGAAGTTTTTAGAACCGATATAAACATCGATAGTATTATATCAGTGCAATTCTGGTACGTCGTCAGTTAATCATTAAGAAAATAAATATTTTAACTATTACTTTCTTTCATCGTTAAATCGCTAACACATAAAAATATAGTTTCAAATTATTAAATATATAACCGTAAATAAGTATACAAAATTTTACAAGATAGAAAAGAAAAGAAAACAAGTATTAAGATGAAAAGCTCGATTGCATCTATGCGTGTACCACATGTAGCAATGAGTATAATGATTAATGTTCTTACTCATTAATAAACTAACCAAAATTCTTGAGCATTCTTGAAACTTTGAGTTTTGTTTTTAATACAAATAAATTTGAATTCTTATGTTTCATTTATTCTTGTAGAACTATGTGTTGCTATATGAATTACATTTGTTTCATTTATTTATTTATTTGTTTGTTTGTTTCTTATAATACTTCATATTTTACAAAGAATTACTCACAGTAGGACTAAAACATACAGAGTATGTTTGATTTTCCTTAATTATGACTAATTATTACATATTCACCCCTAATTTAATTAATTAATTGATATAACTAATTGTCCCAAGTTCCCTTGCATAACCAAATCCATTTTGTTGGTGGCGGACCAGTCTGATTACGACAGCGGGGAACTCCGGTGACAAGCAGATCGGTAGAAGCGATCTGGGTGAAAATTTTGATGACCATCAGTGGTGGTCCGCATTTAAAAGTTTATAGACTTTTTGAAAGTCAATAAATTATCCATGGATTTAAAAGTTCATAGAATTCATTCATAAAAAAGTCTATGGATTTAGAAGTTCATCGAATTTTTTAAAAATCCGTGGATTAAAAAAAGTCCACCACAATCAATATTGAATACACTATCTTAGTATGCATACGAACAGTCGAACACTAACAAGTAATACTAGTTTTTTTTAAATATGGTGCCCTATATCCAAGTGATGCCCTAGGCAATAGCCTATTTGCCTAGGCTCTAAAGCCTTAATTTGGTCCAAATTACCACCTATCTCTAATCTAAATGTTGTAATTATTACTACGCAGTCTCCATTGAAAATAAATTTTTCATCTCAAAATTAAATTTTAGTATTTTACATTACAACAAGTAGTTCGTCCATGTAATCTAAATATTTTCACCATGTCACTCCATTTTTTATCACAATATATTACATACCCTAAATTCAAAATCATCATCTACATTTCATCGTCACTAATATATACGTAGTACTACGTATGTTTGAACATTCTATTTGAATATTTACTATATATAGAAATAATAATTATTATTTTTCATTTGTTGTAATTTTTTAATTTTAATTTTTTAATTGTAATTATAATGTTTTTGGTAGTAAAAGAACAATATTAAAGATATATAATATTTTAGAGGCAACCATATCCAATAAGCATTTATTGACAAATATTTCATATATTTTCCAATAGAAAATATTTAAAATAAAATAATAGGAGCCAGATTTCATATACTCTAAAATGTCAAATTACAGTACAATTTAATATAAAACCTCGCAACAGTAATGCTTCCTTTAAGATAGAACACAGAATACTAAAATAAAATCTCATTGATTAGCAAACTGTCAGTTTTCATAAATAATTTGATCAATCTGATCAATGACATCTCCATGAATAAATTCTAAAACCAAACTCACTAGAGTTACTAATACATTATGAAGTACTGAGATAAAGTAAATTGCTTCACAAAAAATGATTATTTAGAGCGGTCATTCTTCTTCTTCCTCATCATCGTCATTATCGTGCTCTTTGTTATGCTCCCTATCAACCTAGCATATTGTGAATTATGTATAAGTATTTTTAATTTCAAAAGTATTAACAAATAAATAATGAAAAAATTAATAATATATTTCAGTGAGCCCATAACTGAAACTTGTTAATCTACAACTTATACATCTTAATGATATAATAATAATGGCAGGTTTGAATTCTCAGAAAAGGTATTGTGTATTTGTGTACACACAACCTTGTCAGGTATGTATGATTGAGGAGTGTTGGAGATATTTAATTGTGAATCAAGTTTGTCATAGATTAGCTTTATATTTAATCCTTGTATTTAATTGGTGCATGAATTAGATAGTAATCGGGCCAAGTGTTAGGCCCATATAAACAGGCTAAAAGCCTTGTACGCCTAACCTAAACCTCGCCTATAAAAAGGGAGCCGAGGGTTTAGGAATAGGTTAACGTCGTACTTATTCTTCATAGCCTTACGCGCATACTTTTGTGTTGTACGAGTTCACGGTCTATCAAAGAGGGTTTTACGTTGATTCATTCTGTGTGCATCCTTACGTTTAATCTTCGTTGTTAGATCGTTATTCATTGCTGTTACAGAAACATGGACTAACAATTGGTATCAGAGCCGATCGAGAACCGATCAGAAGAACGCCTGCAGAATACTCTGTTTTTCTTTACGTTGTTCTTACTGTCGATATTTCACTCTGTAATCTCGTTTCTTGTTCAAAAGTTGTAAAAGTTACACCCTTAGAATCGTCTTTGCAAAGCGATCAAGGGGTATACTTCAGATTTTGGTTTACGCATATTCTGTTTTCGAGATATCTCAAGTAGGGGTTGTCGACATCTTGATTTTTCACAGGTTCTGCTACGTTTTTCGAGCTGAAAACTCTACCCGAGGATCTCGACATTCTACTCTTAAGGAAACTACCTTCAGATTTTGTTTATCTGATTTTTACAGTTTGCAGGATTTCGACATTGAGGATTTCGACATCTGGTCTCGACATTTGACTTCTCAGAATTAAGGTTTCGAGTTTTAACTTCTCGACATTTCAAATCTCGAGATCAGCTTCTCGAAATTTGAAATTTCGAGATCCCTAATCTCGAGATCCTTAATCTCGAGCTCAAATCTCGATACCGGGCCTCCTTTATCGAAATCTGAGATTTCGATATTCAGATCTCGACATCTGATTTTTTCGACTTTCTGCCTCTGAAAATCTTTTGATCAATTTTTCTCGAACGGTCAGTTTAGTACAGCAATGGCTTCAGAATTAAATGCACAAGGGAACAACAGTACCCCTCCTAGTCTCAGGAAGGGAGAATATCAAATGTGGAGGAACAGATTCCTTAATTTCCTCGAGCACAAAGAGAACTCCGCTGCGATGCTTGAATCATTGCTTGAAGGACCAGCTGAACTCTTGATTTCAGTTGGTGGAGATCCAGAAAATAATCCTCCTATTTTTCCAGAAATAAGGAGGAAAGTGCCATCTGAATACACAGAAGCTGACAGGCTCAGGCTTCGCGGTGATCTCATGGCCAAAACATACCTTCTTTAAGCAATCCCCAATGAAGTATATGTTCTCACAGACAGCATGCAAACAGCTAAGGAAATGTGGGATGAGATAGAGAAGCTGCTACAAGGCACAAGCATCAGCCTCAAAACCAAGAAGACTACGATTCTTATCGCTTATGACTCCTTCAAAGCAGGTCTAGGAGAACCATTGAATGAGACTTACAACAGACTCGTTCAACTGGTAAATGAACTCAGAAAAATCAAAGTATTCAGGTCCAATCTGGAACTGAATATTAGATTTTTATCCAGCCTGCATCCTGCATGGGAAAAGACAGTGAAGGATGTCAGATCTCGGATAGATTTGGACGAAATTGACCTCTGCACACTCTATGAACATCTGAAGCAATTTGTCAACGAGGTTGCCTGTGCTGAGGATCATCACACCATAAACCCCTTAGCTCTTGTAATGGAGGCTCAGCCAAGAAGGACAACCACTTCACTAAAGAAGAAAAAGAAGAAGGTGGTGGTTGAATCAGACGATGATGATAGTGATGATGACAAATCTGATCTAGAGGCTGAGCTAGCAGACTTACAGAAGAAGATGGCACTGCTTGCCAAAAGATTTGCTAAGAAGAACAGCTCCTCCAACAAGCTGAGAACTTCCTCCTCAAACTACAAGCAGAAGAACCATGATCAAGGATCTTCCGGAAAGGCGCCATCAGCTGAAGACGCCCCCAAATGCTACAACTGTGGTAAGGCTGGACATGTCATCAAAGACTGCCGCCTCCCAAAGAAGAAAGATGCTAATTTCTACAAGCAGAAGATGCTGTGGAATAAGCAGAAAATGCTGATGGTGCAGAAAGAAGAAGAAACTTCTGCTATGATTGCTGAGAATGAGAACTGGGCAGAAGATTCTTCTGAGGAGGAGGAGGAAGACAACTATGCCCTTATGGCACGAGTGACGGAAGATGAACGAAAGGGTGATGTTGCGATCCCCGAAAGAGAATGCTCAACAAGCTCTGTAAGTACCTCACATACTCCTTTAAATAATCAAATGCAGTCCTTACTTGAGGAGGACAATCTAATCAAAGAACTAAAGGAGAGACTAGACAATAATTACAGGGTACTGAAACAGAATCTAGACCAAAAGGCTTCCTTAAGTGTTCAACTTGAAATTGCAAAAGATCAGGTCAAAAAGGTGTCCTCAGATTTTGAAAGCTTTGAACTTAAGATAGCTGAATTAACTAGGAAATTTGAGGATAGTGAACGGGAAAAAAGCACAGCAAAGGCTGAATGCGATTTTTTGCATAACAAGAGAAGAACACTTTTAAATAAAGTAAAAGAACTAGAGGATCTAGCTGCTAAGAGAGGTCAATCAGAACAAACTGTTTTTCTACTTAACAGCAAACAAAAGGATGACCGATTTTACAATGCTAAATCAGGACTGGGCATAACCAACCCACGTAATCTAAAGAAAGTTAACTGTATTCAATTCTATAACAAAGATTACATGAATCTAGGGTTAGTCGAGAAAATGCATTTTCGAAGTGATGAAGAAAACGCTGAAGCAGAAGAGGAAAAGAGAAAGAATCCAAAGTCTGCGATTTCTTGTGACTATTCCTCTGTTAATGAAAAACAACTTTCACAAGAAAAACCTACTTCCTGCTTTAGTGAATGCCTTGACCCTTATGCCAAAGATATTCCTCATATAGGACATCCTCTAGACCCTCCCCCAAGAGTAGGTATTGCTAAAACTGGTGAGGAACCCTGTATATTTCCCATGGCTCAAAAGCTCAAAAACCTACAGGAAACTCTTGATAATGAGAGAGAGAGATTTGAAACTGAAAAGAAAGGCTTTGAGCGCAACTGGCAGGAACTTTTTCAAAAGTTCAATGATTTGAGTGAGCAGTATCATGCTAAAACAAACCCCTCTACGACTAAGCCTGAGAGCTCACACACCTCACATGAGAAAAACAATGCTTTAAAAGGTTCGTCCACTCATCTCTCTTCTCCTTTGTTTACAGGAAATGAAGTGAAGAAGGAAGGAGAAGAGAAGAATGAGTGGAGGAAAAAGAGGAAGGAAATCGCAGATGGCAAAAAGAAAGTTTTTGAGAATAATGCCAGTCCTAGATCTAGTTCTATTTTTTACTCTAAAGTTAATTGTAATTCTGTCTCTACAAAACAAACTTCTAGTAGTTCAGTCTTGAGTCCCAAGCTGAATATTTCTGAGACATCTTCTAGACAACGTTCTATTTATAATACAAGTGTTGCTTATGGTTATTCTGTTCCAGATCCCCATAATTATGAATGTGATGTGAATGTTGTTAAAACAAAGCCTCTCAGAAAGCTCAAACCTGAAAGAGAAACCAAGAAAGGAACTTCTAAGGGAACGTTTTGTATTCCTGATATGAAATATGCTCTTAGAGTTCATTCAAGGAAGCATCTTAATCGGCTTTCTAAAGAGGAGATTTTCAAAACCAAACTTAAGAAACAACCGTTCAATCACAAAGCACATGTCTACTCTCCTCCTAAACCTAAAACGGAAAGGTGGGTCCCCAAGATAAGATCCACCAAAACTGAAACTGAAAGGTGGGTCCCCAAGATGAGATCTACCAAACCTGAAACTGAAAGGTGGGTCCTCAAACGAAGACCCATCCAAACTGAAACAGAAAGGTGGGTCCCCAAATTCAGACCTACCAGAACTAAAATGGAAAGGTGGGTCCCAAAATTCAGACCCACCAGAACTAAAATGGAAACTGCTAAGTGGGCTCCAAAAATCAGACCCACTGCAAAAGCAGATCTGGCTATTGGAGAGCCCACAAAAGATAGATCTTTTATTGAAAGAGCTGCTGACCTTGGATCACAGCTCAAAGCAAGATTTAAAAAGGTGTTTCTTGATAATAAGGAAGGACCCACTCCAAGTTGGGTACCTAAACCTGTTTGATTGTTTTGCAGGACGGTCATGTGTGGCACTTAGACTCAGGATGCTCAACCCACATGACCGGAATAAAGCACCTTTTGAGCAATTACACCAACTGCTACGGAGGCAATGTCAGATTCGGGAATGACGCCTCATCTCCTATCCTTGGGTATGGGGACGTCGTCTGTGCCAGTGTCACAATAAAAGATGTTTCATTTGTCAAAGGGCTCAAACACAACTTACTGAGCATTGGACAATTCTGTGACAGCGGGATGGAAGTGAGGTTCTTTGCAAAACAATGCTGTGTTCTTGACAGCACAGGGAATACATTATTAACGTGTTACAGAACATCAAATATGTACACTATTGATCTGAAAAGCGTCCAATCCACCACTTCCATCTGTCTGCTGTCCAAAGCTTCAACTGAACAGAACAACCTATGGCACAGACGTCTCTCCCATCTGAACTTCAAACATCTATCAACCTTGTCCTCCAAGAAACTTGTAAAGGGGCTTCCTCTGCTAAAGTCTTCCGCTGAAAATCATTGTAGTGCCTGCAAAATGGGCAAAATGACGCGAAGCTCCCACAAGTCAAAAACCGAACCT